CCACATGTGGGGCCTCGGCACTCCTCCAATTAGGAGGAGCCACTTGGCTATTATGTCACCCCTTATGTAAGGGGTGATGTACTCTTAGCATTATTCAAAAAAAAAAATGTTTAGGTTAATCTATTCTTAAAAATGGACCCCACACAATACACAATACCAAAGAGTAATGTTATTCATCCCCACTGGGGATGAAAACACAGTTTAGGTGGCGTTAAATGATAGGTTAAATGAAAGGTGAAATTAAATAAGTCATTTAATTTCACCTATCATTTAATACCACATTAGTGCCACGTAGACTGTGTTTTCATCCCCAGTGGGGATGAATAGCATTACTCAATACCAAAAGAGTTATGCTACAAATAACTTTATTGATACCGAGTTATGCTACATGTAAAAACTTGGGTTACAAAGTTGATTGACAAAATAACATTTACATCAATCATTTTAAAAACAGATTTTTAAATCATTTGAAATCAATGGTCTGGATTTTGCCAACACACTTTGTAACCCAACTTTTGTAACTTAACTTTGTACAAATAGCTTTATTGATACCAAAAATCCCCTGAATCATATCTACCACCCCCAACCTCTACCAACAAAATTTAATGGGTTTTTAACTTAGTTAAACCACTTTGTCACGAGAATAATATCAGAAGCAAGTGGCGGGATGTGATTTAATGGAAATGATGACTGCATTTTAAATAGTTCAATGATAAAGTGTAATGTGACATTATGTCAATTACTCTAATATTGTATCGTGGTTCTTTTAACTTTTCTCTTTCTTTGCTATAAAATTGGAAAACAAGTAAAGGGTCCATTTTGGAGAATGGGTCCATTTTGTAAGTAAAAAGTCAACCGTCAAGTTTGGAGAAAAAATGGGTTGGATTGCTGATTCTAACAAAAATTGTAAAGCAAATAGCTGCCATATCTTTTCTTTTGGAAAAGTGTGGTGTATAGGCGTTGGATAGGGTCCATTTTGGGGAATGGTTTAATTTTTATTTTTCATTTTATTTATTTAAGTAAAAATAAAGGCACCACAATCTTTGATAAAAACAAATGGAAAAATTAAGTATGGGTTTCTCGATATTTCACTTGATGTAATAATGAGTCTTCAAATTCTCATCCTATTTAAATATATGAAATTTGATGTTATAAGTAGAATGTGTCGATATAGATTTTAAAGTCACACCCCAACTTTCAATTGAGTTGGAGAGAAATACCAAATGGTTTCGTGAT